TACAAGTCTATCGTCTTATTGCATACTTTACGGTATCCATTGCAGCCAAGATTTCATTCATTAAACCAACTCTCTTGTCAGTACGGAGCAATCCCTCCTTGGATAGTTTTCGCATTCTGCTAATAATACAAGTCTGTTTGCCAAATATAAGTAACTATATTCAACTGTAGAATTAAATGCATTATAGAGACAAAGGAGGAAAAGAACAATTATACGAAAGCGGAAAGTTACAAAATCAAGAGGGAACTAAAAAGGTAAACAAACAAGATCACAGAAGAGAAGCCTGGTCTGGAGGTGGACACTATCAGATTTTATTTTATTTTATTTTTTTCATTTATTGTTATTAATATTTGATAAATAAAACGGCAAAAGGGCAGTAAGAAAGAGCTTTGTTTTACCTGGACAGGGAACATGAGGACTAACATTAAAGAACCAAGAAGTGATGCTACACCTAATTGCTGGTAAAGAAGAACCATAGCCACGATAATTCGAAACGGATATGACCATAATCCATGAAGTTGTTGGCATATTTGCTGAACAATATGAGCGAGTTAGTTGATATTTTTAGTCTTTTTTTTTTTCGTGTAATTAGTCACATGTTCAAAACATTTGGTTATATTTCCAGCTGCGTGAACATACCTGAAGTGCATTTGCATCTGTTGTCATCATATTTGTTATTTTTCCAGATGGAAAGTGCTTACGGCTTTCATGTGTTAGCCGTAAGGATTTGCGAAATATGGCAGCCACCTAAGTATTGGACAAAAGAGTTACAAGACAAAAAATACAGTCTAATATATGCCTTAAGAAGAAAGCATAAGTATTGAAATCTATCTTAATTAAAGTTAACAAAGTCAAATATATAATTGTGTTTTCATACCAGAGTCGATCTTAGCCGAAAACCAATGCGCATGACATTCTGAAAATAATGAGCTTCACAAAGAACTCCAAGAGACTGAAACACCATTGAAAATGTACATAATAAACCACAATCCAAGATTTTGAATAATTAGCTTTAAAGACACAACCGAGTAACTAATCGATGTGGGACGAACATGACTTCCAACGATTAGCATTCAATCATCCAACTTCTGAGTTATGTGTTAAATAAAAAATAATGAAAAAAATTCTTGAATATTTCTACAGACTTCATAAGCAAAATAATACATTAAATGTTACGCGTGAATAAAAACTAATATTCTAATACACAAGGGCAGCTTATGTCAGTAATATTATGAAAACAAAACCTAAAAACGATCTATACTCAGAAATAACAATATCTACTAATACAAATGAAATAGAATTTGCTAATGGGGATCTTACCACACTGATGAAAATCGATAGTGCATAGACATAACCAAGCCAAGCTGGATTGCCTCTTTCCAGGGACTGCCATGAGAATAAAAGTCAATAAAATTACAATTCTATGAGGCATATCGTGTTCATGGCAAATCATGGAAAAGAAGTTAGATTTTGTTTTATTATCACACGTATCTTTTCCAAAATTCAAATACAAAGATAAAAGGGCCATTTCATCTCAGAAAGCGAATATATCAGTTGGTACTTGGTAGGAGGTTAGTGGTTAATCCAATGCTCAATAAAGATAGTAAACTATGTTTTTTATCTCTAACATTTAATTTATTGAAATAATAATTAAATATAAAATATCCGGTCTTCATAAGTGGACACAGCACAATACTAACTCAAA